CTCTTTCTGTCCAGCGATGAGGACTAGATAGGCAGTGCTATGGTTTGAGCATTTCCCCCAGAGACCCTTTGTTGGAACTTAATTCCCCATTCAACAGTGTTGAGAGGTGAGACCTTTGAGAGGTGATTAGGCCGTGAGGTCTCTACCCCCATAAATAGATCAATGCCATTATTGTAGAGTAAGTTCCTTTCTCTCTTGAGTATGTGCTCTTTTGCCCGTCTGCCTTTCACTATGGAATGATGCAGCAAGAAGACCTTCAAAATATGCTAGCACCTTGATACTGGACGTCCCAGCCTCCAGAACTATGAGATACAAATTTCTTTTCAATATAAATTACTCTGTGGTTTTCTGTTATAGCAACACAAAACAGATTAAGGCAGTTTCTCAGCTATTCCCTCTAGCTTTTCAGTTTGGGAAATGTTTCAATTCCTAAGTTTCATGCCAGCTATTAATTTTTAAAAATATGTTACATGTTAAATAGCATTTCAGTTATTTCCATTAGTTATTTCATTTTAGTTATCTCTATCAGGAAGGGCATACTGTCAGAAACACATGGAGTCATTACATATTTTTAAAAACAAATATATATATATACATATTCTAGCATCTATCATATATTTAACTTAAACTCCTAATCTTTAATTATATCTTTTTGAGTGCACTTATTAATTTTTTAAAAAGTTTCCTCCTCGTTCTTCCAACAGTTCTGCTTCAACGAAACACCTGTTTGAAGTGTTTATCTTAGTTTTCCTCTCTGGCTTGCTAGTACTACTAGGGTAAGTTATTATTTTCCATTTCCTGTTCAGACCTCAGGCTCTGTATACACTGACCTATAATTACAGGACAAGTAGTTAGGGTCTTTTATGCAGTGGCAAACCGGCCAGGGGAAAGTTTTCTACTTTTGTGGGCTGGCATTAAACCAACTGGCAATCTGTCCACACCCAGCTGAAGCTTTAGAAAAAACTCTTTCTTCTCCCAGAGCTCCCTAGGTGAAAGAGAATGCTTGCCTAGCCTTAGGAACTACGATCAACACTTCCATGCATGCAGAGCTCCTCCACATTACCTGTCACCCCAAATTAGGCTGACCTTCCCAAGAACAAACATGAATATGCCCATATAATGCTTTGCTAAAAGTACTCATAAGTTTCCTCAGGCTAACTTTTTCTGGAAGCCATAAAATTGAGATCTTTGTTTTAGGCCTCTCTATAACAGGACCCTCCAGTCTACCTAAAACAGAGAAGAGTGACAGTATCGCTTTCCTTTCAGAGACCCTGGAGCCTGTGACAAGTGGACCTTTTAGATGCCCCTGTTTACTTATTGCAGCAATTTTTCTTGTTGGGGAAAGTATTTAAGAGGAGATCGGGAGGGTAAATTTGAGGACCTGGGTTCCATTACTAACTTCTCACAATGCTGTGAGTCATATGTCTACTTTTAGTGACAAGGAGGTATGTCTCATCTGAAAGACATGAACTAGGAGTGCTAGATCATGATTAGCTAAGGGTAAATTGGGGTATGGTGAGCAAAAGAAGGAAGAAGGGAAGGCAAAGAGTATAAACAGCAGATATTCCGTCTATGTAGTACTTATAAGCCTTAAACACAGTGGATACACATAGATATACTTATCTGTTTTACTGATAGACATATCAGTAATACACAGATCAGTTTTCTACTGTATTTTCTTTGAAATAATAAAATTAAATACCAGGAGATAGATTGCAATGGCATACTATAATCAATATAATTCTGAGCTTATACTTATCTTGGTTAGGATGCTTTTCACCTAAGCTGAAAAGAAAAAATTATGATTCAAAATGACTTAACCATTATGGAATTTCATTAGGTCACATTGCTGGAAATCTTTAGGTCTAATGCAAACAGAATCTTGGCTTTATTTATTTCAGAGATATTTTCTTTTCTTCTGTCTCTGTGTTAACAGTTTTCTCATGCTGGCTTTTCTCCTGGTCAAAAGAGGGCTGCCTGATATACGATGGACAACATACCTTCTTGTTGTAAGAAAGGGGCCTGGGGGAGCTGGGAGAGAGAGAATGGTTTTTGATATATATACACATGAGACCATCACCACAATAAAGATAGTGACCGTGTTCATCACCTGGAAAGTTTTCTCATGACCCTCTGCAGTTCCTCATTCCCGTTCCTCACTCCTCCGTGTTCCTAAGCAACCACTGATTTGCTTTCTGTCATTATAGATTAATTTGCATTTTCTAGAGTTTCATGTAAATTGAATCATACAGTAGGTACTATTTTTTATCTGACTTCTTTCATTGAGCATGATTATCTTAAAATTCATCCACATTGTTGTGTGTATCAATAGTTAATTCTTTTTTATTGCTGAGTAGCATTCCATTATATGGGTAGTCACTATTTATTTATCCATTTTCCTGTTGATAGACAGGTTGTTTTCAATTTGGGGATATACTAATAAAGCCACTAAAACATTTGTGTGTAACTGTTTATATAAACACATACTTTCATTTCTTATGGGAAATACCTATGAGTGAAATGGCTGGAGCATATAGTTAGCATACATATAACTTTTTAAGAAACTGCAAACTGTTCTCCCAAAGAGTGCATTATTTTATACTTCTGCTAGCAGCATATGAAAGTTCTAGCTCCTTCATATATTTGCAATACTTGGTACGGTCAGTCTTTATTTTAATAATCGCAATTGATATGTTTAGAGGTATCTCATTGTGATTTACTTTGCTTTACCCTAACGTCTAATGATGATGGGCATCTGTTTATGTGCTTGTTTGCCATTTGGTGAAATGCATGTTCAAATGTTTGGTTCACTTTCGATGGAATTTATTTTCTGATTATTGAATTCTGAGAGTTCATTTTATATTCTGGATAAAGGACCTTTACCAGATATATGATTTGCAACTATTTTCTTTTAGTCTGTGGCTTGTCTTTTCATCCTCTTTTGCAGAGAAGGTTTTAAACTTGATGAAGTAAAATTTATCGGTTTTTTCCTTATGGTGGTTTCAGTGTTATATCTGAGTACTCTTTGCCTGACTCAAACTCACTAAGATTTTCTCCTCTGTTTTCTTCTAGAACTTTTATAGTTTGAGGACTTAAATTCAGGTCTATGATATATTTTGAGTTAAGTTTTGCATATAGTGGTGCAAGATATGGATTGAAGGTTTTTTTTTTGTTTTGTTTTGTTTTGTTTTTCTTTTCTTTTTTTTTTTAGAGTATTGATATCCATCTGATCCAGCAGCATTTGTTGATAAAAACTGTCCTTTCTTCACTAAATTGCCTTTGCAAATTGTTAAAAATCAGTTGTCTTTGTAAGTCTGGACTTTATTTTTTTCCATTGATCTTTTCTATGTTTATGATAATACCATACCTTTTTGATTACTTTGTAGCTTTACAATAAGTCTTGAAATCAGGGAGTGTTAATCCTCCAGCTTTGTTCACTTTTTCAAGATTGTTTTGGCTATTCTAGGTCCTTTGCATTTCTGAGTTCATTTTAGAACCAGCTTGTCAATTTCTACAATAAGTATGCTAGGGCTCTTATTCAGATTACATTAAACCTCCAGAACAGTTTGGGAAGAATTGCTACCATAATGAGTTTTTTTGTCCCATGAACAGGATGTGTGTCTCCATTTACTTAGACATTCTTTAATTTTTTATAGTGGTGTTTTATATTTTTCTATATTTAGGACTTTCACATCTTTTGTCAGATTTATCCTTAAGTGTTTATATTTCTAGTGCTATTTAAATTGTGTTTTAAAATATTAATGTTTAGACTGGACACAGTGGCTCATGCCTGTAATCCCAGCACTTTGGGAGGCTGAGGTGGGCAGATTACTTGAGATAAGGAGGTCAAGACTAGTAGACCTCCTTAGTAGAGATGCAGAAACCCCATCTCTACTAAAAACAAAACAAAACCAAAAAAACATTGGCTGGGCATGGTGGTGTGCACCTGTAGTTCCAGGTACTTGGGAAGCTGAGACAGGAGAATCACTTGAACCCAGGAGGCAGAGGTTGCAATGAGCTGAGATTACACCACTGCACTCTAGCCTGGGTGCCAGAGTGAGACTCTGTCTCAAAAACATAAAATAAAATAAAATTTTAATGTTTAATTTCAGTTTTTCATTGCTAATATATGGAAATACAATTGATTCTTATTTATGGATGTTGCATCTTGCTACTTGGATAATTTCATTACTCTAGTAGGTTTTTATTTTGGTAAATTCTATTGGATCTTCTAACTAGATGATCATGTCATTTGGGAATAACAATAGTTTTACTTCTTTTTAAACCTAGATATCCTTTTTTTCCTTTTCTTGCCTGATTGTGCTGGTTAGAATCACTGGTACAATGTTCAATAGATGTGGTGCAAGTAGAAATCTTTGTTTTATTCCTGATTTTAAAGGAAAAGCATTCAATCCTTTCCTATTAAGTCTAATGTTTGATCTAAGTTTTTGTAGATATCCTATGTCAGATTAAGGAAGTTATCTTCTATTTCAACTTGGCTGGGAAATTTTTTTAAATATCATGAATATATTGGCTTTTGTCAAATGTGTTTTCTGCATCAATTGATATGGTCATATTATTTTTCTTTTTTAGTTTATTAATATATTGAAATTCATTGATCTTTGAATGTCAAATGAAGGCTGCATTCCTAGGGTAAATCCCAGTTGTTGTTTATATTCTCCTTTTTATATACTGTTGAATTCAATTTGCCAAAATTTCGTAAAGCACTTTTGCATCTACGTTCATGGACACTGTTGGTAGTTTACTTTTTTTGTGATATCTTTATCTTACTTTTGCCTCAGAGTAATGTTAGCATTTTAAAATGAATTGAAAAGTGTTCTCTCCTCTTCCAATAAAAAAAAATATTTTAGTAGGTATTTGGGGAACAGGTGGGGTTTGGTTACATGGGTAAGTTCTTTAGTGGTAGTTTCTGAGATGTGGGTACACCTATCACCTGAGCAGTGTACACTATGCCCAATGTGTAGTTTTTTATCCTTCACCTCCCTTCCCTCTGAGTTCCCAAAGTTCATTGTATCATTCTTATGCCTTTGTGTCTTCATAGCTTAGTCCTATAAGTGAGAACATATGATGTTTATTTTTCCATTCCTGAGTTATATCACTTAGAATAATGGTCTCCAATTCTATCCAGGTTGTTGCAAATGTCATTATTTTGTTATTTTTTGTGGTTGGATAGTTTCACATTTTCTCTATCCACTCATTGACTGATGGGCATTTGAGCTGGTTCCATATTTTTGCAAATTGTGAATTGTACTGCTATAAACATACATGTGCAAATGTCTTTTCCATATAGTAACTTCTTTTACTTTAGGTACATACCCACTAGTGAGATTGCTGGATTAAATAGTAGGTCTACTTTTAGTTCTTTAAGGAATTTCCATACTGTTTTCCATATTGGTTGTGCCAGTTTACATTCCCACCAGCACTGTAAAAGTGTTCCTTTTTCAGCACATCCATGGCAACAACTATTATTTTTTTATTTTTTAATTGTGTCCATTCTGGCAGAAGTAAGGTGGTTTCTTATTGTGGTTTCGATTTACATTTCCCTAATCATTAGTGATGTTGAGCATTTGTTCATATGTTTCTTGGCCATTTGTATATCTTCTTCTGAGAATTGTCTATTCGTGTCCTTAGCCCACTTTTTTATGGGATTATTTGTTTTTTCTCTTGCTGATTTGTTTGAATTTTTTGTAGACTCTGGGTGTTAGTCCATCGTTGGATGCATAGTGTTACTTCATTCTCATGCTGTTATGAAGAAATACTCAAGACTAGGTAATTTATAAAGGAAAGGGCTTTAATTGGCTCAAAGTTCTGCAGGGCTGGGGAGGCCTCAGGAAACTTAGAATCCTGGCAGAAGAGGAAGCAAACACATCCTTCTTCACATGGTAGGATTAGATGGTGTCCACCTACACTGAGGGTGGGTCTTCCTCTCCCAGTCCACTGACTCAAATGTTAATCTCCTTTGGCAAAACCCTCACAGACACACCCAGGAACAATACTTTGCATCCTTCAATACAATCAAGTTAACACTCAATATTAATCATCACACATAGTTTGCAATTATTTTCTACCACCTGTGGGTTGTCTGTTTACTCTGCTGATTATTCCTTTTTCTATGCGGAAGGTTTTTAGTTTACTCCCATCTATTTATCTTTGTTTTTGTTGCATTCGCTTTTGGGTTCTTGGTCATAAAGCCTTTGCCAAAGCCTATGTCTAGAAAGGTTTTTCTGATGTTTTCTTCTAGAATCTTTATGGTTTCAGGTCTTAGATTTAAGTCTTTGATTCATCTTAAGTTGATTTTTATATAGGGTGACAGATGAGGATCTGGATTCATTCTTCCATATGTGGTTTGCCAATTATCCCTGAACCATCTGTTGAATAGGGTGTCCTTTTCTCATTTTATGTTTTTGTTTCCTTTGATGAAAATCAGTTAACTGTAAGTATTTGGCTTTAATTCTGTGTTTTCTATTCTGTTCCATTGGTCTATGTGCCAACTTTTAATATAAGTATCGTCTTGTTTTGGTGACTATGGCCTTAGAGTATCATTTGAAGTCAGATACTGTGATGCCTCCAGATTTCTTCTTTTTGCTTAGTCTTGCTTTGCTATGTTGGCTCTTTTTGGGTTCTATATGAATTTTAGGATTTTGTTTTCTAATTCTGTGAAGAATAATGGTGGTATTTTTATGGGAATTGCATTGAGTCTGTAGATTGCCTTTGGCAATATGGTTATTTTTCACAATATTGATTCTACCCATTTATGAGCATGGGATGTGTTTCTATTTGTTTGTGTCATCTATGATTTCTTTTAGCAGCGTTTCATAGTTTTCCTTGTAGAGGTCTTTCACATCCTTGGTTAGGTGTATTTCTAAGTATTTTATTTTTACAGCTATTGTAAAAGGGATTGAGTTCTTGTTGTGATTCTCAGCTTGGTTGCTGTTGGTGTATATCAATGCTACTGATTTGTATGCATCGATTTTTTATCCTGAAACTTTACTGAATTTATTTATCAGATCTAGGAGCTTTTTGGATGCATATTTAGGGTTTTCTAGGCATATGATTATATCGTTGGTGAACAGCAATGGTTTGACTTCCTCCTTACTGATTTGGATGCCCATTCTTTCTCTTGTCTGATTGCTCTGGCTAGGATTTCCAGTGCTATGTTGAATAGAAGTGGTGAAAGTGAGCATCCTTGTTCCACTTCTCAGAGGGAATGCTTTAACTTTTTCTTCTTCATTGTAATGTTGGCTGTGGAGACTTTTATCATCTTAAGGCATATCCTTTCTATGTCAATTTTGCTGAGGGTTTTAATCATAAAAAGATGCTGGCTTTTGCCAAAATTTTTTTCTTGCATCTACTGAGATGATCATGCAATTTTTGTTTTTAATTCTCTTCATGTGGTGTATCACATTTATTGACTTATATGTTAAACCATCCCTGCATCCCTTGTGTGAAATCACTTGATCATAGTGAGTTACCTTTTTGATATGCTGTTGGATTCGGTTCACTAGTATTTTGTTGAGGATTTTTGCATCTATGTTCATCAAGGATGTTGGTCTGTAGCTTTCCTTTTTTTGTTATGTCCTTCACTGGTTTTGGTGTTAGGATAATACTGGCTTCATAGAATACCTTATGAAGGATTCCCTCTTTCTTTATCTTTTGGAATCATTTCAATAAAATTGGTACCAATTCTTTTTTGACTTTTTGATAAAATTCAGTTGTGAATCTATCTGGTCCTGGACTGTTTTTTGTTGGCAATTTTTTTTGTTACCCTTTCAATCTCACTGCTTGTTATTGGTCTATTCAGAGTTTCTATATCTCCCTGGATTAATCTAGGAGCATGTATTTCCAGGAATTTATCTCTTCTAGGTTTTCTTTTCTTTTCTCTTCCCTTGTTTTTTTTAGATGGAGTCTTGTTCTGTCACCAGGCTGGAGTGCAGTGGTGTGACCTCAGCTCACTGCAACCTCCGCCTCTCGGGCCCAAGCAATTCCCCTACCTCAGCCTCCCAAGTAGCTGGGACCAGAGGAACACACCACCATGCCCAGGTAACTTTTGGATTTTAGTAGAGATGGGGTTTCACCATATTGGCCAGGGTGCTTTCAATCTCCTGATCACTTGATCCACCCGCCTTGGCCTCCCAAAGTGCTGGGATTACAGGCATGAGCCACTCTTCTAGGTTTTCTAGTTTGTGCACATAAAGGTGTTCATAATAACCCTGAATTACCTTTTGTATATCTGTGGTATCTGTTTTAATGTCTCCTGTTTTGTTCTTAATTGAGCTTATTTGGATCTTCTTTTCTTGGTTAATCTCACCAATGATGTATGAATTTTGTTTATCTATTCAAAGACACAGCTTTTGTTTCATTTATGTTTTGCATTTTTGTTTCAATTTCATTTAGTTCTGCTTGGATCTTATTATTATTTTTTTTCCTGCTGCTGGGTTTGGGTTTAGTTTGTTCTTGTTTCTCTTGTTCCTTAAGGTGTGAACTTAGATTGTCTATTTGTGCTCTTTCAGAATTTTTGATGTAGGCATTTAATGCTATGAACTTTCCTTTTAGCACTGCTTTTGCTGTATCCCAAAGGTTTTAACAGATTGTGTCACCATTATTCTTCAAAGAATTTTTAAATTTCCATTTCAATTTCATTGTTTACCTGAAGAACATTCAGAAGCAGATTATGTAATTTCTATGTATTTATAAAGTTTTGAGGGTTCCTTTTGGTGTTAATTTCCAATTTTATTTCACTGTGGTATGAGAGAGTACTTGATATAATTTTGATTTTCCTAACTTTATTGAGACTTGTTTTGTGGCCTATCATATCATCTGTCTTAGAGAATGTTCCCTGTGTGGATGAATAGAATATATATCCTGCAGTTGCTGAGTAGAGTGTTCTGTAAATGTCTGTTAAGTCCATTTGTTTTGGGCTATAGTTTAAATCTATTGTTTCTTTGTTGACTTGCATTTTGATCACCTGTCAGTGCTGTCAGTGGAGTATTAAAGTACCCCACTATTATTGTGTTGCTATCTATCTCATTTCTTAGGTCTAGTAGTAATTATTTTGTTAAATTTGGAGCTCCAGGGTTGCATGCATATATATTTAGGATTGCGATATTTTCCTGTTGGACTAGTTCTTTTATCATTATATAATGTTCCTCTTTGTCTTTTTTAACTGTTGTTTCTTTAACGTCTGTTTTGTCTGATATAAGGAGCTACTCCTGCTCACTTTTGGTGTTCTTTTATTTACATGGAACTTCTTTTTCCACCCTTTTACCTTAAGTTTATATGAGTCCTTATGTATTAGGTGATTCTCTTGAAGACAGCAGATACTTGGTTGGTGAATTCTTATCCATTGCGCCATTCTGTATCTTTTAAGTGAAGCATTTAGGACATTCATTCAACATTAGTATTGAGATGTGAGGTGCTATTTTATTCATCATGCTACTTGTTGCCTAAATATGGTTTTTTTTTTCCATTGTGTTATTATTTTATAGGCACTGTGAGATTACTGCTTTAAGGAGGTTCTGTTTTGGTGAATTTCAAGGTTTTGTTTTAAGATTTAGAACTCCTTTAGTAGTTCTTATAGTGCTGGCTTGGTAGTGGCACAAATTCTCTCAGCATTTGCTTGTCTAAAAAAGACTTGTTTTCATTTATGAAGCTTAGTTTTGCTGGGTACAAAATTGCTGGCTCATGATTGTTGTGTCTAAGGAGGCTAACGATAGTACCCCAATCCTGGCTAGCTTGTAGGGTTTCTGCTCAGAAATCTGCTGTTAATCTGAAAGGTTTTCTTTTACAGGTTACCTGATACTTTTGCCTCACAGCTCTTATGATTCTTGCCTTTGTCTTGACTTTAGATAACATGATGACTATGTGCCTAGGTGATGATCTTTCCATAATGAATTTCTTAGGTGTTCTTTGAGTTTTTTGTATTTGAATGTCTAGATCTCTAGCAAGACCAGGGAAGTTTTCCTGGATTATTCTCTCAAATAAAATTTTGCAAACTTTCAGATTGCTCTTCTTCCTCAGGGGCACCAATTATTCTTAGGTTTGGTCATTTAACATAATTCCAAACTTCTTGGAGTCTTTGTTCTTTTTTAAAAATTTTCTTTTTTCTTTGTCTTTGTCTGATTGGTTTAATTCTAAAGCCTTGTCTTTGAGCTCTGAAGTTCTTTCTTCTACTTGTTGGATTCTATTTTTGACACTTTCCAGTGTATTTTGCATTTCTTTAAGTGTGTCTTTCATTTTAAGAAGTTGTGATTGTTTTTATTTATGCTATTTTCCTGGAAATTTTTTCATCCATATCCTCTATTGCTTTTAAAATTTTGTTAAGTTGATTTTCATCTTTCTCTGGTGCCTCTTTGGATAGCTTAATACTCTACCTTCTGAATTCTTTTTCTGGCAATTCACAGATTTCTTGGTTTGGACCCACTGCTGGTGAGCTAGTGTGATATTTTTATATCACACTAGGTGTTAAAGAAGGTGTTAAAGAAGCTTGCTTTGTCATATTACCAGAATTGATTTTCTGTTTCCTTCGCATTTTGGTAGACTATGTCAGAGGAAATATCTGGGGCTCAAGGGCTGCTATTCAGATTCTTTTGTCCCACAGGGTAATCCCTTGATATGGTGCACTCCTCATTCTGGTAGGGTTGAGGCTTCCTGAGAGCCAGACTGCAGTGATTATTTTTTGCTCTTCTGGGCCTAGCCACGCATTGGAGCTACCAGGCACTGGGCTGGTACTGGAAAGTGTCTGCAAAGAGTCCTGTGATGTGATCTGTCTTCAGGTCTCTTAGCGGTGGATACCAGCACCTGCTCCAGTGGAAGTAGCAGGGGAATGAAGTGGACTCTGTGAGGGTCCTTGGTTGTAGTTTTGTTTAGTGCACTGGTTTTCTTGAGTACTGGTTGTGCTAGCAGTAAAGTTGTCATGTGGACAGACTCAGGACCTCTGGTTAGCCAGGATGTTACAGATGGTATAATTAGCTGTTGTCTTTTCCCTTCTTGGAGCAAGCTTATTCTTTAAAGAACCTAGCTGTTGTCTTCTCCTTTCTTGGAGCAAGGTTGTTGTAATAGCTTGAGTTGACTCTCCTCTATTCAGGAGGTGGTGCTTTCAAAAGAGTAGTATGGGGGGATAGTATAGGGGACATACCAGCTTGCCCTAAGAATAGTATAATATAGGGGGGATACTAGCTTGCTCTAAGGTCACCTGGATAAGTATTCAGGTTTCTCCGGTGATGGGCGGGGCCGTAGAGCTCCTCAGAGATTATGTCTTTTGTCTTTGACTACCACAGCAGGTAGAGAAAGACCGTCTGGTGAGGGCAGGGTCAGGCATGTCTGAGCTCAAACTCCCCTTGGGCAGGGCTTGCTATGGCCACTTTGGGGGATAGAGGTGTGGTTCTCAGGCCAATGGAGTTATGTTCCAAGGGGAATTATGGCTGCTTCTCCTGCATCATACATCATACAGGTCAACAGGGGAGTAGAGGAAAGCCAGCAGTGACAGGCCTCACCCAGCTCCCATGCAGCCAGCAAGACCAGTCTCATTTCCACCATGCCCCACCAGCACCGAGTTTATATCCAGGCCACCAGTGAGCAAGACTGAGATCTTGCTCCAGGCTACAAGCCTCCCTGCTGAGGAGGAAGCAAGCAGGGATTTCAAGCTTCAACCCTTCCCACCTGCCAAGACTTCTGTGCTCCTGTCTATGTGCACTTCTTATCTGCCCAGGATATTTTGTACTCTGCTGAAATTATTACAAAGGTGAGCTGGAGGTTTCCTTCTCCTTGTGGTCTTTCCCCAATTCCACTGGCAGCCCTCCCCAAAAATCCCTGTGAGGTAAAGTCAGAAATGGCTGCCCTGGAAGCAGGGAGTTCCTAAGGGCTCTTCCTGTTGCTTTGCCTACTTTTATATTTCTCTTGGCTCCCTAAATTAGTTTCAGCTCTAGGTAAAGTTAAATCCTTCTCTCATGATCTGGATTTTCAGGTTCCCCAGTGAGGATGTGTGTTTAGAAGCAGACTTTCTTTCTCTCATACATTGAGTACTCATAGTTTTTTGGCTGTCTCAGAGTTTGTAGCAGCAAGCCTGTTCTTTCAAAGGGTCTGTGAATTTTTTCAGTTTCCCTGGTGTGTTCCCACAGTAGTTCTTGGAGCAAAAGTTCACAGTGTGAGTCTCCATGTGCTTTTCTGTCTATCTGAGTAAGAGCTGCAAGTTAGTCCTTCCTCTTATCTGCCATTTTTCCCCCTCTTCCATTTTTTTTATGTCTGTGTGTTTGTTTATAGATATTGTATTATATTTTTCTTCCTACAAATGCCTAATAAATTTCTCCAGTGAAGCTCTCTTTACCTAGATTTTTTCATTGTTGTTAAAAGATTTTAAAGTATAATTTTAGTTTCTTTAATAGATATTATATTCTTCATGTTCTCTATTTCTCGAGTGATTTTTGGCAGTTAAAATCTTTCCAAAAAATGTGCCATTTCATTTAAGTTATTGAATTTTCAGTCATAAATGTGTTTATAATATTTCCTTCTTATCCATTTTTAAAAATTATATTTTATTTTGACATAACTGTAGATTCACATACAATTGTGAGGAAGAATACACAGAGAGATCTTGTGTAGGTTATACGTAATTTCCCTCAATGTAATATTTTGTGAACTATAGTACAATATTATACCCAGGATGTTGACATTGATACATTCAAGATACAGAACATTTCCATCACCACAGGGTCTCTCCTGAAGCTGTTTCACAGCTACACTCACTTCTTTTCCTCCTCCATCCCTCTTTAACCCTTGGCAGTCACTAATCTCTTCTTCACTTCTATAATTTTGTTACATCAAAGATATGTCAGTATAATTATACAATATATGATCTTTCAGAATTTTTTTTTCATTCAGCACAATTCCCTGGAGATTCATTCAGGTGGTTGTGTGTATCAAAAGTTCATTCCTTATTGTTGCTGGGTGATATTTTATGGTATGGATGCTCCAGTTTGTATACCCATTCACACACTGAAGAACATCTGAGTTGTTTCTACTTTTTTTTTTTTTAGGCCAGATGTCTCTCTGTTGCCCTGGTTGGAGTATATAGATTGCCATGATCATAGTTCACTGCAGCTTTGAACTTCTAGGCTCAAGCAATCCTCTCGCCTTAGTCTCCCAAGTAGCTGGTCCTACAGACACTCACCACCACACCCAGCTAATTAAAAAAAATATATTTAGAGACAAAGGCTTGCTACGTTGCCCCAACTGAGCTCTCCTAGCCTCAGGCAATCCTCCTGTCTTAACCTTCCCAGTGGTTGAGATTACAGGTGTCAGCCACCATGCCTGATGTTTTTACTTTTTGTCTATTGCAAATAAATCTTCTATAAACATTCTTTTACAGGTGTTTGTGTGATCATAAAATTTCATTTCTCTGGAATAAATACTCAGGAATGTAATTGGTAGATCATATGGTAGTTGCATGCTTAAGTTTTAAAGAAATCGCTAAACTAGTAAACTGCTTTCTGGGGTGGCTGCACCATTTTACATTTTAAGTGGTGATACCTGAGTTATCCAGTTTCTTCACACCCTCACTAGCATTTGCTGTTGTCACTATGTTTTTATTTTAGCTGTTCTCATAGGTGTGCAGTGACATGTCATTGTGATTTTAGTTTGTACAGCCTTAAGGGCCAATGAAGTTGCATATATTTTCATGTGCTTACTTACCATCTATTTATCCTCTTCAGTGAAGTTTCAGTTTATGACTTTCCTTCATTTCTAATTGGATTCAGCGTTTACATTGAGTTTTGAGAGTTCTTTTTGTATTCCAGATACTATTCCTTTGGTGGCCATGTGATTTCTAAATATATTCTCCCAGTCTATAGTTTGATTTTTCATCCTCTTAACTGTCTTTTCCAGAGCCAAAGATTTATATTTTGATAAAGTCCAATATATCATTTTTTGTCCTTTCATAGATCATGCTTTTGGTGTCATGTCTAGGAACTTTTTGCCTAACTCTAGATCCCAAAGATTTTCTTCTATGTTTTTAAATAAAAGTTTTATAGTTTACATTTTACATTCAAGTTCATGATCCATTCTGAGTTAATTTTTAACTTAGGTCAAGGTTTTCTGTTTGTTTGTTTTTGTTTTTTTGCCTATGGATATCTAATTGTTCTGTCACAATTTATTGAAAAGGCGATCTTAAGGCCAGGCACGGTGGCTGACTCCTGTAATCTCAACACTTCGGGATGCCAAGGTGGGAGGATAGCTTGAACCCAGGAGTTCGAGAGCAGCCTGAGCAACATAGTAAGACTCGGTCTCTCAAAAAATTTTAAAAAATAGCCAGGCATGTTGGTATGTGCCTATAGTCCTAGCTACTCAGGAGGCTGAGGTGGGAGAAGTGCTTGAGCCTGGGAGGTTAAGTAATCCATGATTATGCCACTGTATTCCAGCCTGGCTGACAGAGTGAGACTTTGTGTCCAAAAAAACAAAGAACAAACAAAAAAGACTATCTCTTCTCTATTGAATTGCTTGTGTACTTTTTTCAAAAACCAAGTGAGCATATTTCTGTGAATTTATGGATTTATTTATGGATTCTCTATTTTGTTCCCTTTATCTATATGTCTATCTCACTTAAAATAACTCACAATCTTGATTATTATAGTTATAAAATGTCTTGAATTAGATAGACTGTTTCTTCTCATTTAAAAAATTCTTTTTCAAAGTTTTTTTTTGGTTATTCTAATATTTTACCTTTCCATATATAATTTTTAGAATAACTTTTCCTTTTTTATCTAGTTTCTCTATATTTTTACCATATTTTAGAATAATTCTTTCCATACGTATTAGAAGTCTTGCTGGGATTTTGATAGGAATTGTATTAAACCTGTATATCAATTTGGGGAGAACTGACATATTTACTATGTTGAGTCTTCCAATCCTTGCTAGCTGCTCATTTATTTAGATCTGGGATTTTTTCATTAGCATTTTATAGTTTTCAACATGTAAATCCTATACATGTTTTGTTAGATTTACACCTGTTTCATTTTTTTTGAGTGATTATAAATATCATGTTTTTAATTTCAGTGTTCATTGCTAGTATAGAATATACAATTAATTTTTAAACAAATGATTTTTTTTTTTTTACAGCAGATTTAGGTTCACAGCAAAATTGAGAGGAAGGTACAGAGATTTCACATATACCCTCTGCTCCTACACATGCATAGCAGGCTCCTCCATTACCAACATCCCCACTAGAGTGGTGCATTTGTTACAACTGATCAACCTACATTGACATGTTGTCACCCAAAGTTCGTAGTTTACATCAGGGTTCATTCTTAATATTGTACATTCTATGGGTTTAGACAAATGTGTAATTGCATGAATCCACCATAATAGTATTATACAGAGTATTTTCACTGCCCCCAACCCTCTGTGCTCTACAAGAGTTGATTTTTGAATGTGTGTCTTGTACCCTGTGACTTTGCTGAGCTCATTTATTAGTTCTAGAAGTTCTTTTTACAGATTCCTTGGGATTTTCTGTATAAACAATCATATTATCTGCAAATAGGAACAGTTTTTTTTTTTTTTTTTTGTATCTATACCTTTTATTTCATTTTCTAGCCATAATGCACTGGCTAGAACTTGTAGCACTATACTGAATAAGAGTGTTGAGAGTGGGATACTTGCCTTGCTCCCAATCTTAGGGGGAAAGAATCCAATCTTTCACTATTAAGTATAATGGAAATTGTAGGTTTTCTTATAGACGCTCTTTGTCAAGTTGAGGAAACTTTCCTGTATTTCTATTTTTCAGAGTTTTTTTAAAAATTATGAATGGGTGTTGAATTTTGCCAATGATTTTGTTTCATTAATTGATATGATCATGTAAATTTTATATGATAGATTATATTGATTGATTTCAAATATTAAAGCAGTATAGCATCCCAGAGATAAGTCATACTTGGTAATGGCATATAACTTTTTCAGATATTACTGAATCTATTTTCTAAATATTTCATGTTTATATTCACAAAAGATATTGGTCTATAGTTCATTTTGGGGTGTGTTTGTGTGTGCTGTTTTTGGTTTTGGTATCAGGGTAATACCACCTTCACAAATGAATTAAGAAGCATTTATTCTTTTTTTTTTTATTTCCTGGGAGAAATTGTGTAAAACTGGGGCAAATTCTTTTACTGTTTGGTCCAACTCTCCAGTGAAACATTCTGGCCTTGGAGATTCCTTTCTTTCTTTTTCTTTTCTTTTTTTTAGTCTCAAAATTATGAATTTAATTTTGTAAGTAGTTATTTGACTATTCAAAGTTTCATACTGAGTGAGTTGTGATAATTTGCATTTTTAAGAAATTGATCAATTTTATCTAAGTTGCCAAATTTGTGTGTAGAGTTGTTGATAGTATTCCCTTATAACCTTTTGATGTCTACAGAGTCTGTGATTATAGCACCTTACAAATATATCTGACACCCTTCACCACAGATTATAGTTTTGTCACAGGTGAAAGGAGAGGTTTTAACCCATTAAAATCACTTTTATCTCTAAGGACCTACCAACTGTGATTCAGAACAACATATGTGTGTACTCATTTAAAAGTTGAGTATATATTTTCAGCCTCTTTTTCTCTTTTATCAAGCACTTTAATGGCATATTTGAGGTAGAAATTCAAGCTCTTACAATACTTTAGGTGC